ATCTTTTAACAAATCTCACTTGCATTTTCTAACCCAAGAGGTTCCTCCCACTATATCATTCATTTATTCATCCTTTGTATAAGCATTTCCTTAGCACCTACTATGCGTTAGATGTTACTCAAAGGTGAATGAGACATGGCAGTAATGAAATTCTAACCTTTCAAGACAGGTGGTCTACTTTACAGAGGCAGTGATGAAATATTGAAATACTTGGGAGAAAGGATTCAATGTATTGTATTATGTGTCTCTGAACAAAATTCTCCAAGTAAATAAATGTATGTGAGGTAAAAGCTGCCTTGGTTCACTTTCTTTTTTACTTATGCTCATTCCAGAAATCTCACTGCCAATAGCTAACTTTCTTTCCAGAAAATGTCTCTTTTATCCCAATTTTGCCAATGCTGAATATTATCATTTTCCCCCCATGTTTGCCCCTCTTGTGGCCATATAATTTATAATATTGCAAATCAGTAATATTTTTCATCTGATCTTATTGGTATCAATAGTTTCTCGTGAGAAGATTATGTGCCCTGACTGCCCATTCCCCATTAGCACTGAATCTTCAAATGTTATGGAAGCTGTTACCGAGTCTCTTGCAAAATACAACAATGAGAGCACCTCCAAGCAGTATTCTCTGGTCAAAGTCACCAGGGCTTCTACCCAGGTAAGATGAAAATGCACAGCCAGTTACACACACAGTGCATCTCGTAAACATGACTACGGATTCCTAAGGCGAGAGGAGAATGCCAAGCCTATCCTTCTGATTAGAACGCAAGAATCTTTCTCCACCTTCCCTACTTTGGTGGATCTGATGCACCAGTTCAATCATGCTTCACGTTCAGAGTTACTCAGTGGTGTTTCTACAGGAGTGAGGTGTTTCCTTCCTCACCCTTAGAGCAAGAAGAGAAATGGACTTCTGGCCTCCCTGGGGGATTTCCTGCAGATTCACTGTTTGAAAATATATTATCATGTCTGACCACCCATGGACCATTTTGGAGGACAACTTTTACCCCATGCTAAGGCGTAGAGTGGATGTTGACTTTTATGCTTTAGGGAAAGTGGAGGCTCATTTGTAATTGGATTATGTAGATATCTCTTTCATATGGAGAAATATCTATAAGATAGTTCTCCAAGACAAAAAATAGGCTTACCAAGGAAAAGCCTTTAGGGCTTCTTCAAATCTTTGAGAAGAGAAGAAAGGTGTGGTGATTATGCTTTCTCAATAACTAAATCGTGACACGTGGTTTGATCAGGGCAGAGACTTACAGGTACTACATCTGATGATGTATCGTTTCTGTAAATATTATGCTGGAGAAGGTGAAGATTTTCCCTATGAAAGAAGGTTTGATTTTTATGTCTTGACTTCTGTCTCCTAACAGTGGGTGGTTGGCCCTGCTTACTCTGTGGAATACTTAGTCAAGGAGTCACCGTGTATCAAATCCCAGGCTGGCAGCTGCTCATTTCCATCCTCCGACTCTGAGGTGAGTTTCCTGAATGTCTTCATAAATTAAGATGTGTGTTCACAGATCATCTCTAAGCACTGGTAGAGGATAAATTATATACGAAGTGTTGTAAGCCTGAGATGCTTTTCTCCCACTAAAGAGCAATTGACTAGTTAGAGATTAGATGAGCCCACATGCAGTA